CACTAAACGAGCTTTATACCTCTCCACGGTTCCATCAGCCCCATGCTTAACAGTGAACACCCATTTACATCCAACTGGATCCTTTCCCTTAGGGAGATCAAYRARTTCCCAYRTGYCATTCTTATGAAGAGCATCAATTTCTTCCTTCATGGCCTTCGTCCATTCTGGTACTGAGAGAGCTTCTGCCACATTCTTGGGAATAGTGATACTGTCAATGGAGGTAAGAAAAGCACGAAATGAAGGTGAGATGTTATCATAGGAAATAAAGTTGGAAACAGGGTGTTTAGTGGTGCACGACCTAACACCTTTCCTGTGGGCAATGGGAAGGTCAAGATCATTAGCAACAGCGAGGTTGGGAGTCAAGTTACTTGAGTGAGTATGATCTTCCCCCAAGGAATTTGATGGCATTTGAGGTACAGCTTTTGCATTCTCCACAGCACTTGAACCTAGTTGGCCTTTACGACGACGAGAAAAAACACGGAAAGGTGGAGGATCAGAAGGAGAAGGGGGAGAAGGAGAAGGAGTAGGAAGAAGAGGAAGTTGAACCAGTTTCCCCTCATGCCTACACTCCCCGTGAGGAGAAACAGGAAAGAATGGCTCATCCTCGAAGAAGGTAACATCCATGGAGACATAGAATTTCCGAGAAACATGATCAAAGCAACGATACCCTTTCTGAGAGAATGAGTAGCCAAGAAATATGCACGGGATAGCACGAGAGTCCAATTTCCCCCGGGTGGGAGATAGGTTTTGGACAAAGCACCGACAACCAAAAACACGAGGAGGAATAGAAAGAAGAGGGGCCTTAGGAAAGAGAAGCTGATGTGGGGCTTTGTACTCTAACCAACGAGAGGGCATTTGGTTAATGAGGTATGTAATGTAGAACAAAGGACGGCCTCAAGCCAAAATCGTTTGGGAACATTCATGTGGAATAGTAAACCCCGTGCCACTTCAAGAAGGTGTCGGTTCTTCCGTTCAGCCACACCATTTTGTTGTGGCGTGCGGGCATAGGAGCTCCAGTGAAGTGAGCAATGTGAAGCAAAGAACTCCGTGAGGTCACTATGAAAAAATTCTTTTGCATTGTCTGATTGAAATATTTGAATTTCGGTCTGAA